TCTTGCAAAATGCAGTTTCTTTTCTTAGGACCCATGCGCACGGCCACTTTTGCATCACTTTTGTTTGTTTTAAACTGATGTTTAATGGTATCTTCGTGTCGGAGCTTTGTTTCATCAAATTACATCATCGCTTTTGCAGAGGCCACCTTCGTGGTCGGTTATCAATGCGCTTGAATTACTGTATGCTCTTGGAGCTTTGGATGAAAAGTAAGTAGTTTTCTGGAACTGCAAAGTTTTCTCCTATTATTGCTAATTCTGGTTTCTTTTACTTATCTTTTGTTTACTGTAACTGATATGTAGGGAAGTGAATATCTTGCTAGTTTAGAGTGCAAGTTTCCGAGTTTCAGATGCATGCTCACAAACCCACTGGGTCTTCGAATGTCCGAGTTTCCCTTGCCACCGATGCACAGCAAATGTTTGCTGACATCAGGTGTGTCCAAGCATCTCCAATACAATTAGTGGCATTATTGAATATGTTCGGTTCTTCCTTTAATTCTCTTAAGTACAAATTCTGTTTAGGCGATTTCGGATGCAGTGAAGAAATCGCCACGATTATTGCAATGCTCCAAGTGCAGGACGTGTTTTTAACGCCGACAAGGAATAGGAATAGATCTGTAAGTGATACCTTCCCTAGGTAGATGTCAAATGGAATGGTGTAGTGTCGGTCATCCCGCATACGGGACGAGATTCAATATGGGGTTTGCTCCCGGGACCAGATCCAACATTGGGTCTCGTCTATGTTGCTCAGGCCCTCAATACCGTGAGGACGGAGCGCATTTGAATGCTCCACTTTTTATATGAAGATAGAAGTGCGTGGCCTATCTCGGAAAGGTATTTGATCAACCATGAATGCTTAATCATTTTACATATAGTATTTTATAAAGTAGAAACCTTTAGTATGGTCAGATTTTTGGTGTTTTTTACAGGAGGAGGTGAAGCGTCGATTTGCTGCAGAAGAAGGTGATCACATTGCATATCTGAATATGTATACGATGTTCGTTCAGGTCAGCTTTCAACTTTTCAGTCATAATGCGAGACTTTATGATTTTTAAGAAAGACGTGCTTATTTTGATTCAATTTATTCGATTTCATTTATCTTAGAAACTAGAAAGGCAAAAACTTAGATGAGCTGGTTGCTAT